ATGATAAATTTATCATCTACGGGTTTATATCGAATTAATTTGATGGCCTGCTCCCAGTTGGCTTGTTAGCTCAATTGGTAGAGCGCTGCACTAGTATCGCAGAGGTCAGTGGTTCGAATCCCGTACAGGCCTGAAATTTTTTTCAGGTCTGATTTTCACTATTGCTCAAATAGTGCTTTACTGCGAAGGATCGTGCACATATAAGTGTATTTATTGTTACAACAGTGAATGAAAGAAACAAACCAAATTCAAGTATCACTTGACTTTAGTTAACAAACAATAAGGAATTATCACTGTTGTAGTAGCAGTCTTAAAAGTGGAAAAATAAAACAAACAAAGCTAAGGAAGCACATGTGGAGAAACAAAATTTTTATAAGACTACCAGTAAGCAAAGTAAAAAGAGAAGGAACATACAGATCAAGGATCATGGAGTGTTTCTCCTCACGATCATATTAACTTTATCTTGTCCTTTGTTTACCTTGTTCCCCAACAACATTATTATTACGTCTGATGAGGCATACTCATAGATCTCAGCCAGCCATGCCTAGATATGATATAATATGAAAAATTATGTGAATTAAGCATTCTTATTAAGAATCACTCAATCAACTACTGAAATCAGGTACACCAGTAACAAAGAAAAAAAAAATTAATCTACCTGCATCTAAAAGAACTCTGAAAAAGAGCAGTTCCAACCCTCTATGAAGGTGTAGGGGGCTTCTTCAGATTTGGGTAGTGCTAAGAACTCTTTACAGTCAAAGTTATTAGTTAGGATTTTTAGGGGGGGATGGGAGGGTGGGGTGCTAAGAACTATTGGAGGGCTCTTCAGGTTTTTCAGAGAATAAAAAAAAAAAACTTATTCATAACTGCAATGCATGAAATGTTTTAAGAATATAGTTTTACTTTAATTAACCTAGATAATTACAACTCAATGGGGAATTAATAAAACATCATATTGAAACAGGAGATTTGAAAGGGTTTTAACAAGCAGCTATATTGGTCAGGGGGGGAGGGGTTGAAAAAAGAGACTCACTTTGTGCTAATCTTGTTAAACTGTGATATATAAAGAAATATTAAAGAAATATTTAATCATAGCATTAGAATCCAAATAATTATTTATCATTTACTTTTGCATGTGTAATTCATTTGCTTATAATAATCAATCATACCAGTAAGACTCAAAGAAACAAGTTTTTTACTTTGTCTCAGCTATCATGGCACGAAAGGTCAGATCAAAGGGTATGTTCACAGGTTTAGAGACAACTATTAAGTATAGTTACTAAACCACGCCATTGAGTTTGTTTACAGAGTTTAAAAACTTACCCTAATATTCTCAAATGAACTTTCACTTGTGACATCATAAAGCAACAAAAGAGCTGCAATTGTATCAAATTATAATTTATAAGTTTCAGGCAGGTTATCCCACTTTCTAGGAGTTCTATAATACACACAATACAATTAATGCAACTAAAACAGACATAGCAAATGACACATTTTGGCCTGGATTTGGAGAACGAGAAGGCACACCCCTTCCCAATAATTCCAACCAGTCCAACTCCTTCCCCCAAAAGTCACAGGCCTATTCTAAAAGGTTCTCAATTTTCTCAGCACACTATTCACCAAGAAGAAATACAGGAAAAGAAAGTGAAGAAAGTCAACAGTTATCTTATTACCTTGGGAGTCCCTGTAATAAGCATGAGTTATGCTACGAAACCTCTCTTGTCCAGCAGTGTCCCATATCTGTCGGATTTGTCACATAAAACAGGGCAAAAAAGACAATAATAAGTTATCCATTCAGTTGAGATTGGTATCAAGAGAATGTGAGAAACTGTTACTAATAGTCAAGCTAGAGTTGTAAGTACAGCCTCTCAATGTAGCAAGACTTAAATGTGGTGAGACTATTTCTTCAAAGCTAGAATACACACCTGGGATTAAAAATGACAAAAAAGAAACAGAATGCAGGGGTTTTAACAAATACTGGTTACAAGACTTCTTACTTCCATCTGATCAGCCTGGAAGCAGGGCTTTTGTGTTTGAGTTTTGCAAAAATTCTGTAGCAGCAGTGATACTGAGTGGTCACAAATGACATGCAAATTATAGAGACATGAATGAAAATACAAAGCACTCTTTCGGAAGCCCAGAATGCTGGAAATGACATTTCCAAGCTTCTAATTTCAAAATTGCTTTTTCTGGGGGAGCATGCTGGGTTAAGAGTCCTTATGGCACCTTTTCTGGGTACAGATGCACAGACCACCATCAGCAGCCCCTTGGGGAAAATGTTATTGAAACCCCTGGGAATGTAACCATAGAACACTGGAACACTTACCCCTCCCCCTGCAGTCCTCTCCCACAAGGGTTTGACAGCATCAAAACAACCGAGTAGCTTTACTTCTGTATTTTGTTTATCACCTTTAGTGTAAAACCTTAACTCTATTAACTTATAGTTGATCCAATAAACTGGCCAAAAATAGAAAACAATAAAAATGAATTTTCTATCTTTCTTTATTTATTCATTGACCCCCACTGAATCTACATTGCTGTTAAAAATTCTTCATCTGAGGTGGGCGATAAAATAAACAAATAAAAAATTAAACATTCCACACTTTATCACAAATATTTTGAAACAAGTATGCAATCGAGAATAATAGGTTCTAAATACATATTTTCATAGCTTTTTGGCTTAAATATACATGAACACTGCCCTTACCTGTAGTTTAACTTTTGTTCCATCCACGTCAACGATTTTATTCTATAAGAACAAGAGGACAACCCGAACACGTACACAAGAGAATTATTAATTACGCAGACATTTCTTATGCAAATACCTGCTGAGTTAAATAGGACAAAAACGGCTGCGTTTAACGGTTCACCTCACCTTGTAGTCGATTCCCACGGTAGAAATAAACGAGCCAGATAGAAAAGCGCCATCTTTGAACCTCACGAGTACGCATGTTTTACCCACACCGGAATCTCCGAGCAACATTACCTGCAAAAAAATATGAAGCTTAAGTCGTAATGATCAAGTGGTCGATAAGCTCGTCGTAAATGCATTAAAAATTTAAACACATGGTAGAGCATTTTAAAAAAAACCCTTATACAAAAGCGATAAGTGAGCTTTATTCCACTTGGACAACCAATAAATCTAAAAAACCTACGACTGCTAGAACCATCAGCTGGCCAAATATCTTCGATTGCACCTATACTTTCGGTAGCAGAATTTTCAAGCTGCGAAACTTACACCCAACTTTAGCACGAATAAAATTTGTGAGGCGACAACTGGAATAAATTGAACGTCGCAAAGCTTGAATGTTTAGAGCAATTACGACAAGAATGAAATAAATAACTCATTTGTCGTCATGTCAGATATTTCTACCGAACGTACGAATACTAATCTTACACCAACCTTGCAGGCAACGTCAAAATTATCGCTAGCAGGACGTTTCGTTGGGCCATTTTGCAAGTATGACATGGCGAATTTGTTATAGGCACACTCCAAAGAGGAGTTCCGGTATTACCGGTGATATTTCTCGGTTTAGATCAAGCATATATATCAACGCACTCGAGAATATCCTCGCTTTAGAAATAAATCATGAATTTGCGATTGCCAAGAAATCGCTCTCGTAGATATTTGCATAACATGTGACGTCATAGCGTCATTCGCGCGCTTGTAGGCGAGGAAACAAATACAAATTCTTGGAATAATTGAAATATTTTACCCACGACAACTCTGATGTGACCGTTTCAAAAGTTAAAACATAAATATGCACACGGTGGGCTCTTGTAGAACAAATTTCGAGCTGTACTAGAAAACATTAATGTAAGGTTTTGCCAAAGATTAGTTTTCATAATACTCTTTTTTTCCCCTCTTCCATTACGTTCGAAATTCTTGACCTTTCCATTAAAATGACAGGGGTTAATTCTAGATGAAGGCCGCTAATGTAAATGACGGACTGGGTGTCTAAAAAATTGGTCGAAATAATACGATACAAAAGGACGTGGTAACCTGTAGGATTAGCCGCCACAATGATCCAAAATTCTCTAACCCTTATGAAATTGAGCACCAGCACAAAATGGCATCGTTGCAAAATCAGAAGACGCGTTTAGGTGCGCAAATTTGTTAAGTTTATTCAAAATATTGTCGTACACTCTTAACCAACAGGTGCTGTATAAGTCGACTGTTAAGATGAAACAAGTAGTTGAATGATTGCTATGTTTAATTTAGGGTGAAAATGTACGAAATTAATACCAAAGGAAGCGGTGCTTTCAATTCGGGATACGCTTTTAAGTATAAACGCGTGGGATTGCCTCGAGCTTCTGATATGACCTTTAGTACGAACGGAAATGACCGACCTAATATTCATGCTAAAATCGATCTCTTTTTTTTTTTTTTTTTTTTTGAGTACAATCCACCCTTTCCGGAGGTACTTTTAATTAAGAAGTTCAGTAATTTTCTTGGGTTTTGAACCTTTTAACTTGATACAGTTTTTCGCTGTTTCTTCTTGGAAATTCTAGAATCACTGATTTTGTAACTTGATCAAGCTTCTTTTTGCTATACGTACTGAATCCAGACCAAACCTATGCTTTTTACAATTGCGTGACTTGAATACTAACGAATTTCCAGTTTATTTATGAAAGTGGGCGTTACCATTGGTAGGCCCCTTTTCTCCAAAAAACGAACTGTTTCCTGTTATAAATTGCTCTTATGCAATTACCTTTCAACCGTAGTTCCGTCATGGAACTAGTGTTAAAATTAAACATCTTTCGATAAAATCGTAACAAGTAATTTTTTTTTAATTTTTCATGTTGGCTTACTTTAGCCAGGCACGCTACAAACGATCGTGAAAATTTAACATGAAAGAGATTTTAACAATGTTTACTTGGTCAGAGGTCTCTTCTCATAAGTACCGCTTGCTTGCAACCTACGGCGCAAGGCATTACGGGAAAATAAATTATGAATAGGTGATAGTTTGATGAGCGGCTATCAACCTACTGTTGGTTCTAACTTGGTAAACAATAACCTTGTTAGCAGTCGAACAGTAGAGTCAAAAAATTAATTCTAAAAAGATGTACAACAATCCAAACCATGTAACAAGAGTGAGTCTACAGTCACAGTCACTCTGTTGGGCGAATATAGGGGGGCAAGTTCCTAAAGAAACTGTGGTGGGGGTAACAAAGTAATTTGGTTATATCAACTAAGTTGAAATTGTAAATTGGCCTTCGTATAGAGTTAAAAAGCTGATGTTTCGAGCGTTAGCCCTTCGTCAGAACGAATGACGGTGACCAATTTACAATTTCAACTTAGCTAGACCCCTACCAAAAGGCTACTTTAACATAACAATGATCTTCACATGATCACCCATGCTCACGAATTTCTTTGATGCCAATTATCTATCTTGAAAGGACACACATCAGGATCACTGGTAATTCATCAACACAACAGAGTAGTTCAGTTCTAGCATAAATTGCCTAAAAGTAATAAACAATAATCCAATTCCAAAATCCTATTTCTATATGCATAAAAGGTAAATTTAAAAGAACGAAAAAGCCACAATATTGGCTAATTTTTTATGTGCCACAACGTTCACTTCGTAATCTCGATTCAAAGTCCTCCAAATACCTACAAATAAACAAGCATTTTTCCTTCTTTTAGCAACAACGTTTTAACCAGAATCTCACTCAACTGCGAGAGATCAGGTCTCTTTGGTTACATTTGCCAGTAAGGAAATTTAGAAAGGGCGAAACGTACACGAGTCATTGCAGACTCGTGCCGCACAGCAACTTGAGCATGCGCGAAACGACGCGTGTTTTCTCGGTAATTTTCCCGCTTCTAATCGATCACCCGAGGCAATCAGGTTGGGCTAATAATCAACTGTTGGTAGAAGTGAGGACTGTTTGTGCCGAGAATGCGGTTAATGCCTCACTGATCCTTGTCTACTACTGGCATGAACAGAGAATAAGATTTCGTTCCTCCCGCCCAATCTTGAACATCGAGGAATAGAAGAAGTACGGCCCGCGTTCAGAGGCGCCTCTTTTCATAATTCCAGCGTTTCGATGCTGTAGGGTGTCACTTTCTCTGCTTTGGGTAGAGCCTTTCGTCTCTTTCGAAAATGATCCAAGAAACATTCCACAGTACGGAGCTTATCGTAAGTACGCACCTAAAAAAATTGAATTATTACAAAAAGCTGAAAAATGATCTTCAAGAACTGAGCCATTAAAGAGAATTCTACTTTAGGGTAGACAAGGACCATCTTACTCGAATCTTGTTAATACAAAAATGGCTAATAAATCAGTGGATGATTTGAATCAAGTGCGGTAGGGTGTACAGCAAATAAGTACTTATCGCATGCTTATCGAAGTCTACATTACAAAAGACAAGGACCGTCTAGCTCGAATTTAATATGATGTTCCTTGCCAATACTAAAATGGCGTATTGAACTAATATGGTCTAAGTTTCTAATACCTGTTGCGCTACAAGTTGATGACAGCTGACCAGTACCTCCTGGGCTTCAGGCATGAGCACCATTTGAGTGTAATGGGCATTTAACAGCAATCCTGCCCAGTCAAGGACCTATGAAGGATAAAATGGCTTCAGGAAATAGAATACTTATCAATTGAATGTCGAAAGGAATCCGAGATACTTGAGCACTTTTAAAACCAAAACCAAAGTAATCATATCGGCCAATCGGGGCAGAGAAAATAATTATAAGGAACCAATCAGAAAAAGCAGGCTTTTTGAAGCACGGGGGAGTAATTGGTAGTAATTGGTTTTAGTTTTGGATCTGATCGGTTGAGAGGGTCTCGCGGGTTTTCTGAGCCAATCAGAGAGTAAAGTGAATGACGAATGACTAGTTTATTAAACTCTCTGGCAGCAAAAGACCTGAATTATCGAGTGTATTTTACAATCTTAAGGCAACTGTTATCTAAAAACTAAAAATTTACGACTATAACAATGATAATAACAATTGAATCATTTAAAATATTCAAATCTAAAAAAGTCCTCCATTCTCTTTGTCCTACATATCTGAATGTTTCGGAAGAGATAGTACTTTTGTGTTTTCTGCCTTAAGTTGTAATTAGGTGCGTGCAGGAGTGGGCTGGGGAGCAGATGGGTGCAGGAGTGGGCTGGGGAGCAGATGGTGCAGCGGGTGGCTGGGGGACTTCATTTTTGCCATGTATTTATAGCACAGGGGCAAATCCAACGCATTCCGCGAAATTTTTCTTCATTTAATTGCAAATAATTGCTTCACAACCTTTTACTACCAATCATGGCCTAGTAACTGGCGATTTCCTGCGCTTCAGACAGTTTCTGTGTTTTAATTTCGATTGAGTGTCGAAGGTAAAACAGGACTGCATCAACTTTGCTGTACTTCGCTCCGATTGGTTTAAAAACCTCGCGCCACTCTCTCAGCCAATCAGACGCAAACATAAAACCAATCACGACTGGATGACGTGCGTTTTCCCGCGCTTTAGTAAGTCTGCTTGCTTGCTTCGAGTTCTAATTGGTTCTAGTTATATTTCCCTTTTTCTTAATTGGCCTATATGATTACCTTGGCTTTAGGACAGTCGAAAAGCGCTTCTCACTGACAAGGCATCTGCGAGTAAGCAAGACGCGGTTACGAAGTGCAGCATTCTCCTAAAGAGAGGCTTAGTCCTTTTACTCCCAGAAGTGATTAACA